TATAATATTGTTTTAAGAACTATATATTTAAAATTAATATTTAAAAAGTTTATCAAGAATTTATAAATAATTTTTTTGATTAAAAATTTTTTCTAAACTTGTTTATTTTTAGCTTATAAGCAATTTAAACTTTTTCTTAAACTATAAAAATTAATTTTGCAAATAAGTAATCTTTATTTTTAAATATAATTATACAAAGTTTTATTTGAATATTTTAGTATTTTAAAAAAATAGATTAGAGCTAAAAAAGTATAAAAATATAGACAAATTTGTCTGTATTGGTTTACATATTAATTGATAAATTAATATAAGAGCTTGTTAACAAAATAATCCTTCAAAACTATAGTTTTATAATTCTAAAGGATTATTTTTTAGTTATTATTATTATTATTCTTATTATTAATTATTTATTTTATTAAATTTGCTATAACTCAAATAAATTATATCATTTTGCAATTATCAAATCTACTACAAGTTTATAAAATAAATTCAAATATAAATTTTTCAAATAGCAAATTAGCTTAAAAAAATTATAAATTTATTTTATCTTGATAAATAATTTTTTTTTTTTATATATATTTAAAAATATAGCATATAAACAATATATTCTAGTAATATAATAATTACACTCAAGCAAATATTTGCCAATCCAATGATCACTATACCCAAAACTGGAGCTAAAAAGTACATAGTACTGAGCATAATTATACTAAGACAACCTCGTAAACACCTCTAAGGAAAAAAGATAAGCAAAAAATTTCATATAGAGTTCATTAAAACACCTTGTTTTCAAGGCTCATTGTAAAAACAATATATAAAGAAATGTTGAATTCTGTTTCTAGAATTTGAATGAATTTTTTTTTTTAAAACTTTTCTGGTGATTTGGCTTACATCCTGTATTGTAGATCACTATTAAAACAAACAAACAAGCACACATTAAAATTAAACAAATAGCCTAAACAGGACAACAAAGCATTTAGACAATAAACCAACAACAAAACAACAAACAAAACATGTAGTAATCCCAAAAACAAACAAATAAATATGTAATATGGGTGAAGTCAATAGAAATGGGACAAATTTATCTAATAAATTTGTCACATTTCTATTAACTCCACTCTATAAGTTAGAATTAACAGACTACAAAAACTTCTTTATTAAGTCAGAAAGGGAAAAAAAAAATATACAAGAAAAACAAAGCATTCTTATATAGGAGGTAAATAAAAAAGTTGCAAGATACTTAGGTACAAATGAGATTTATCTCATCTCAATTATTTGCAATGTCTTGTAGCACTATAATTAGACACAACACAGGAAAACAAGGAACCAAGAGCTAGAAAAGGAGGAAAAAATCTTACTTGAGCTTCCTATCAATGACAATATACAAGTAGATAGTATATATTAGATACATAGTATTAGTATAAAACAAGAAGACCAAACATCCTGTTCAAAATTATCTATATTACAATCCTGCATTTTGTCTGATGAAAACCAAAATATGGAAATCATAGCCAAACCTACAATAAAAAGTATAAACAATAATATGCAGATTGATGAACAATTACCCTCTCGAAAGAGAAATTATATAGAACAGAAAAAAATAACTGACATAACAAAAGTCAGACCAGAAATCAAAAAAGAGATTTTAATTAAAAAAAAACTAGGCACTTTAGATTATAGAGTTCTCGAATCTCTTGAAAAAGACAAAGAAAGTGCAGACAAGCATCTAATTAGTAAGAGTAATAAAAAAGCCAAAAAGTATAAAGATATCTATAACTCTTGTTAGGCACCAACAGTGAATATCAAGAATCATGATTATATATATAACAACATAC